ACTCCATTAAAGAGTGTTTGAGAGTATCCTTAACATCTACTTTTTAATCCTCAGTTTTTTCGTATCAAATTTGCTCAAGAGAGTGCGTTGAATGCTGTTGTTGCTGCGAGTTCGTTCATGTGACTTTCTGGAAAAGGTGAGTTGCTGAATCACTCATATATATCTTTAGATTCATTATATTCGAGTACCACTTATCATATACGTATTTCATATTTGCCTTTCTTCACATAAAGATACATTTGGTCTGATATTGCCAAGCCAAATTGATCAATAGCTTTCTTTTTAATGCAATTTATTTATCATTATGATACATACTGCATATAGCTGCTGTAACATGCTTTCATGTTCTGTGTTCCTTATCAAATTCTTGATAATTCCTGAATCATTTTCGCATTTTATTTGTAATTAAAAGCTTCATACTATATTCATTTTATTTGTTAGCCGTGTACATTGCAATTGATAATGATAGCTGATGTCTACACTTACAACATTGCAAAGTCCGTTTCATATTGGCAATTATACCTTATAGTTGCATTACAAAAGCATTCTAGCAAAAAAAAAGGAAGAAAAATTAAATGCCATCTAGCATAATGAAACAAAGAAAAATTGGAGATGAAAAGAAACAGATAATTGATACAATCATAGTAGCAATTGATCATTCCTTTAGTGCACTTAATCTGCGAGCAGTAGTGTGATGTTCACTTATTCAGTATTAATTACCTACCCCCATAGGATAAGAACTCTTCCTTCAGACTATCAGTTTTTAGAGAAACTTTTGGAAATTTTCATATAATTTCAAATTCAAAAGTTCCCATCAAATTTAATGGACAAGATAAAGATTATGTGACAATGCATGATTCATGAACACAAGATGTTTGCATGAAGATGCAGTCAAGAGTCAGACCTACAACGATAATATTTAGAGCAGCCTCTATTTTGAGGATTTGAGGGAGGAGGAAGACACCCTCCAGTTTTACTATAAGCCTCACCAGAGCCACCACCATTACAAACTGGCTTGTCTCTCTGTAAAGCTCCATTAGAAATGTATCTCTTCTGCTCCAGAAACCTTCTGCTTATTTCGGACTCCATCAATAGCTCATCTTCTTGATTGCATTCAGATATGGAGCCATTGCATGTGCTTGCATGACTTGTCAATGATATCACAGTGCAGCTGCTGAAATGCATAAAGCTGAAGAGCAAGAAGTAGCAGAAACTCAGAAGTCTAATGGTGGATAATTTTGAGGTCATTCTTCTGTTTCTTCGTCTTGGATGTACCCTTCTTTCCACCCTCCACTAGGAAGCACTATATAGAGAATATTATATTATATGACACCACCTTTTAGAAAAGGTGCAAGTTGCATTAGTGATAAATTGATGGTGCGCACTTCACCAAACCTTTTGGACAACATGGAAATTATGTTATTTTCCATGTGCTACAGATGGGTTTTCTCTCTTTCTTTTCTGTGAAGACTATTGATTTACTCTTGCTAGTAAGGGATTGGATATTTATGTGAACTGAGATTAGGTGGCTCCCGGATGATAAAATTGTGATATGTCCGAAGTATATTCTGATATAAATATAGAGTAATTCAAAAATTTCATACCAAATAATACCTTCTAATTTGTACCCAAAAGAAAAATATTTATAGAAAACATGTGGTTGGTTTTGTGGCATCTGAATAAGATGATATTTTCTTGGTTCTTATTTTTGTCCCTCCTTTCCTATCTAAGCCTAAATATTTGTGCAAAGCGAAGCAGAAAATGATGGGAGTAAAAGTTTAGACTTTTTAAAATAATATAAGACATTGAATCAAGTTAAAACAACCAGAAACATAATCTAAATATATCCTCAAAATATATTTGGTCCAATTTATAAAATTTGAACCGTTAAAATTAACAATGCTAATGTTAGATGGATGAGTTGGACATCCTTAGGTTTACCCAAAAACAACTATATTTCACTTTCATTAAAATTAGTTATAACACGCATTTTTTTTTTTTGAATAATTTTTCAGTCCATGAAAATAAGGTGTTCTTACTTTTATTTTTTTTTTTAATTTTTGTCCGGGTAAAAAAATTGTTTCATTTTCATCTTTATTGTCAAATTAACCGTTAAGTTTAGCAGAAAAAGTAAAAAAAAAAGAAAAAGAATTACGTGAGTAAAATAGAAAAATAAGAAAATGTAAAGGACTAAAATAAAAAAGAATGAAAATAAAAACAACATAAATTTGAGAGTACTAAAACGAAAACAACTGAACATTGAGCAGATCAAAATAAAACTAGCTAAAATTAAAAGGATTAAAATGAGATCAACTTTATTTTCTAGGGAATAAATATTTATTTGAGTCAAATTTATAAAATTTAAGCTTTTAAATAAAATAAATACACTAATGTGGAATAAAAAAAGAAATTATAATGAATGCATTAATGACCAACAAAACAAATAGCAACACAAATCATAATACCTATCATGAAATAATAAAATTCACGTGAAGAATAAACAAAATTTCATTAATATTTTTTTTTTTTTACATATCACACCAATATCTCTTATATATAACATTAAAAAAAAAACTTTTTATTATTTCACACCAATATCTCTCATTCTGTATTGTTGATGATGGCATTGACACTCAGTTAAGTTACTTGTATAGATTGTCTATTTGTTCCCTGTATTGAGCCACAACTCTATCTCTTCGAATTTTCAAAGTAGGTGTCATTAGACCATTATCAATCTGTCATTGGAGAAAATCATGTCAGTTTTCTGATGTCAATAACATACAATATACTGCTACTTTGAATTCCAAATCTAACCGTGAAGGGTTCATTCACAAGAAGGATTGGTCCAATTTGAAATGAAGATTCTGACATCCTGCATGATGAATAGGACAGTTAGTGAACAACACCATAAAAGGAACATGAGAACTTTTTCTTTCGTTTCCATTCTTTTTTGGTCATCCAGAAACATAAGTATATAATGTACCTTATATCAGCAATTAAATCCTTTAACTGCCAATCACTAACATACCACATAGATATTTGAACAAGCATAAACTTTTTCTTGCATTCATTACAAGAAACAGATGTGAAACCAAGTCTTACCAGGTCTTTAATTCTTTATATATTAGGCTCTTCACTCTTTCTTAAATTCTGGATCAAGAAGAAGAAATCCACTTCCTGCTGCATTTCCATCTTTATCTCCAAGAAATGAGATCATTACATCACCAGAAGCAAGGCAATGAGATGTGTGCCCATAAGCTAATCCAGTCTTACTAATGATTTCTTCAGGCTCAACAACTTTGTGCAAAGATGGAGACCTTGAATTTGTTTTTGTGTCAACCACATAAATGCGGCCTGATCTGAAATATGCTAAAGCTGACTTAATAAGGATTTTGTCTTAAAAAAACTAATGTCTTTCTTTGGAGTTCTTGAACCTTGACAGTGTGAATGTGTACTTATGTGCTAGCGTGTATACATGTGCAAATAAATCAAGACTGTTTATTTAGTCACTTACACCAGTGAAGGTAAAATTAGATATCGACGAACTGCTGATGGATCTCCATAGCAAGAGCTGCAAGAATTCCACCCAAAGTGGTGCAATTCATCACCTAAATAAGGTACAGGCAGCCTATGGATAATTTTCGAATATGTTGGAGAGCTTGGATCCACATCCACTGTGGCCAGAAAGTCAGGCTTCTCCCTTCCTGTTCCTGAATTGAATTGAATCTTTAACACCAATATATAAAGAAAATCACTAAACTACATGTTTTCACTGAAATTTTTTAAACTGCATCAAGCCTTCATGCACAGCACTAGAAAGAGATAGGTATGCTACATGTCACTTTTACCTATCTATTATCATGTCATATCAAATCAAATGTTTGTAACAACAAAGTGAGAAACCCATTTTCAGACATATTGAGACACAAGAAGATTTTGGTACCTGAGTAGATAGCAGTGACATACAGGAGAGTTTCTCTAGGACCAGACATGGCTGCCAGTGGTGAAGCATAGCCAGGCCCTGATTTGGGACAACCTTGCATGTTGTTTTGGTTCATCACCTTGTCTCCCTTCTCACAATACTCCATCTCTCTCTATTAAAAAAGATCACTTCACAGATGTTTCCTTGAAAAGAAGATAATAGTGATGATGAAGAAGAAAAATGAACTCAAGGAAGAGCAAGTCAAGTTAAAGGTTCTGTCAATGACTGTTACTAGTCTCACAAAAAAGGAAATTACATCTTTGGCTTTATCTCAAAGTCACAATTCACACAGACATTATTCCAAAGCTTGAAAGAAACACAAGTTTGTTTCAATTCAAAAAGCCAAAATAAAATTCTTCCTTCTGAACCTTTCAGGAATATTTTAAGGTTTTATGTTTTCTAGTTCTTTAGATAAATATCTTATTAGATTTCCTTTTCCTACAGTAATTTCTAGATAATTAATTATTGCTTATATAATGCTTATAAGCTACATTTTAATCCTAAACTGCTAATCAATATTATTAGTATGTAAGTTCTGAAAAAAATTGTCACAAAACAAACACAACGTTGTCAATTATATGAAATTAAAAATAAAATAAAAATCCTAAGGGATGAATAATTTGAAGCTGTCTGTGCTTTGAGACAATAAAGAAATAGGTAAGAAAAACAAGACGTAAAGCATTTTCCAAATTAAAAATCAAAGGAAAACTCTTACTTATTTTTTCTATTTTAGAAGTTAATACTCGAATAAAAGTCACAGTTTATTATTCATTTAATCATTGTCTTATTACATTTCTCAACATAATAAAATAACAAATCATTTTTATTACAGATTCCAATCTATGAAATATAGATTGATTATATAGTATGTCTGTTGCCTCGAAGAAAAAGGTTACCGACTACGTTAATTATACCAAGATTCTATTTCTAGTTGACTAACCCAATCAAATTTGTAGCTTTAGTAATTCACAGCTTTAGAAAAATATTTAAAATAAAATAAAATTACGTGTAAAAAGAAAATTACTAATGTCCATAAAATTTAATAATTATAACTTATAAAATAGTACGTTGCACTAATAGTTTAATGTATTTTATCGGTAAATGCTACGTCCGAGATAAAAAGGTTACGATATAAATATTAAAAGTTTAATTTATAAATATTTTTAAAATAAAAACTTAAAAAAACATTTTAACAATAAAAACCTTTAAATTGTTAACAAGTTAAAAAATTATATTGTCTTTTAAACAGATCATTATAAAAGTATCTTATTTATCATATATGAATACGAGAATGTAATTAGGTAATAATGTAAAAAAAAATTACATTATTTGTACATAACTTATTTTCTCTAATATTAATCTAAGATAATACTTACCGATAAATAATCTAAGATAGTAAAAGAAGTCTTTGAATAGTCCTTAAAAATAAAAATAAAAAAATTTGTTAAAAATTAAGTATATATAAGTTTCTCAATAAATACAAAAGAAGAATTACAAAAGATAAACGAATATATTTTTCTGATAAATTAAAACCAAGCTATGTATTTGAACTCTTAAAGGAAGTTAAATTAAAATTTCTAAAAACAATGATCCTAGTTAACAACTTCACGTGAAAATGGGTCGAGTTTACTTTTCTTTTTATTTTGCCAAAAAAATTATTAGAATCATTTGCTTGAATTCAACTCAACCCAAGATCAGTAAATTAGAATAAGTTTGGATCAATTCGACTCATTATAATAATATTATATAATTTTTTTTTAATTTAATAATGATACATTGATAGTATAAAATAGTTTTATATTGTTAATTATTGGACACTAGAATTTTTATATTTTTTTCAAATTACAAAACTAAAGATTAATGTTAAATTTGAGAAGTAAAAAACAGATTTACGTTATATTTAAGCTAAAAGTTATTATTAATATATATTTATTCAAAAGTTTAGACTTTTTAAAATAATATAAGACATTGAATCAAGTTAAAACAACCAGAAACATAATCTAAATATATCCTCAAAATATATTTGGTCCAATTTATAAAATTTGAACCGTTAAAATTAACAATGCTAATGTTAGATGGATGAGTTGGACATCCTTAGGTTTACCCAAAAACAACCAAGATACAAACTAGTAACTAGAAAATAATCCACTGAAATGATAACTATTTCGTATTACTAGTTTCATAGAACTGCCAAGAAATATGCTGCCATAAAACAATTATTTAATGATTCTACACTAAATCTTTTGCAAAACTTTTTTCATTTCTATGGATAGTAATATACGGGCATGTGTATGCACCATTTCTCACAGAAAGTCAGAAACCAAATGCATGAAAAAATGAATAGGAATTGGTAATTTAAGTGCATTTTGACATCCCAATGTGCATTATTATTGTATTTCTCAATGTAACCTATAAAAGGGTACCTTCCCTTCACATTAAATTCTGGATCAAGAAGAAGAAATCCACTTCCTGCTGCATTTCCATCTTTATCTCCAAGAAATGAGATCATTACATCACCAGAAGCAAGGCAATGAGATGTGTGCCCATAAGCTAATCCAGTCTTACTAATGATTTCTTCAGGCTCAACAACTTTGTGCAAAGATGGAGACCTTGAATTTGTTTTTGTGTCAACCACATAAATGCGGCCTGATCTGAAATATGCTAAAGCTGACTTAATAAGGATTTTGTCTTAAAAAAACTAATGTCTTTCTTTGGAGTTCTTGAACCTTGACAGTGTGAATGTGTACTTATGTGCTAGCGTGTATACATGTGCAAATAAATCAAGACTGTTTATTTAGTCACTTACACCAGTGAAGGTAAAATTAGATATCGACGAACTGCTGATGGATCTCCATAGCAAGAGCTGCAAGAATTCCACCCAAAGTGGTGCAATTCATCACCTAAATAAGGTACAGGCAGCCTATGGATAATTTTCGAATATGTTGGAGAGCTTGGATCCACATCCACTGTGGCCAGAAAGTCAGGCTTCTCCCTTCCTGTTCCTGAATTGAATTGAATCTTTAACACCAATATATAAAGAAAATCACTAAACTACATGTTTTCACTGAAATTTTTTAAACTGCATCAAGCCTTCATGCACAGCACTAGAAAGAGATAGGTATGCTACATGTCACTTTTACCTATCTATTATCATGTCATATCAAATCAAATGTTTGTAACAACAAAGTGAGAAACCCATTTTCAGACATATTGAGACACAAGAAGATTTTGGTACCTGAGTAGATAGCAGTGACATACAGGAGAGTTTCTCTAGGACCAGACATGGCTGCCAGTGGTGAAGCATAGCCAGGCCCTGATTTGGGACAACCTTGCATGTTGTTTTGGTTCATCACCTTGTCTCCCTTCTCACAATACTCCATCTCTCTCTATTAAAAAAGATCACTTCACAGATGTTTCCTTGAAAAGAAGATAATAGTGATGATGAAGAAGAAAAATGAACTCAAGGAAGAGCAAGTCAAGTTAAAGGTTCTGTCAATGACTGTTACTAGTCTCACAAAAAAGGAAATTACATCTTTGGCTTTATCTCAAAGTCACAATTCACACAGACATTATTCCAAAGCTTGAAAGAAACACAAGTTTGTTTCAATTCAAAAAGCCAAAATAAAATTCTTCCTTCTGAACCTTTCAGGAATATTTTAAGGTTTTATGTTTTCTAGTTCTTTAGATAAATATCTTATTAGATTTCCTTTTCCTTCAGTAATTTCTAGATAATTAATTATTGCTTATATAATGCTTATAAGCTACATTTTAATCCTAAACTGCTAATCAATATTATTAGTATGTAAGTTCTGAAAAAAATTGTCACAAAACAAACACAACGTTGTCAATTATATGAAATTAAAAATAAAATAAAAATCCTAAGGGATGAATAATTTGAAGCTGTCTGTGCTTTGAGACAATAAAGAAATAGGTAAGAAAAACAAGACGTAAAGCATTTTCCAAATTAAAAATCAAAGGAAAACTCTTACTTATTTTTTCTATTTTAGAAGTTAATACTCGAATAAAAGTCACAGTTTATTATTCATTTAATCATTGTCTTATTACATTTCTCAACATAATAAAATAACAAATCATTTTTATTACAGATTCCAATCTATGAAATATAGATTGATTATATAGTATGTCTGTTGCCTCGAAGAAAAAGGTTACCGACTACGTTAATTATACCAAGATTCTATTTCTAGTTGACTAACCCAATCAAATTTGTAGCTTTAGTAATTCACAGCTTTAGAAAAATATTTAAAATAAAATAAAATTACGTGTAAAAAGAAAATTACTAATGTCCATAAAATTTAATAATTATAACTTATAAAATAGTACGTTGCACTAATAGTTTAATGTATTTTATCGGTAAATGCTACGTCCGAGATAAAAAGGTTACGATATAAATATTAAAAGTTTAATTTATAAATATTTTTAAAATAAAAACTTAAAAAAACATTTTAACAATAAAAACCTTTAAATTGTTAACAAGTTAAAAAATTATATTGTCTTTTAAACAGATCATTATAAAAGTATCTTATTTATCATATATGAATACGAGAATGTAATTAGGTAATAATGTAAAAAAAAATTACATTATTTGTACATAACTTATTTTCTCTAATATTAATCTAAGATAATACTTACCGATAAATAATCTAAGATAGTAAAAGAAGTCTTTGAATAGTCCTTAAAAATAAAAATAAAAAAATTTGTTAAAAATTAAGTATATATAAGTTTCTCAATAAATACAAAAGAAGAATTACAAAAGATAAACGAATATATTTTTCTGATAAATTAAAACCAAGCTATGTATTTGAACTCTTAAAGGAAGTTAAATTAAAATTTCTAAAAACAATGATCCTAGTTAACAACTTCACGTGAAAATGGGTCGAGTTTACTTTTCTTTTTATTTTGCCAAAAAAATTATTAGAATCATTTGCTTGAATTCAACTCAACCCAAGATCAGTAAATTAGAATAAGTTTGGATCAATTCGACTCATTATAATAATATTATATAATTTTTTTTTAATTTAATAATGATACATTGATAGTATAAAATAGTTTTATATTGTTAATTATTGGACACTAGAATTTTTATATTTTTTTCAAATTACAAAACTAAAGATTAATGTTAAATTTGAGAAGTAAAAAACAGATTTACGTTATATTTAAGCTAAAAGTTATTATTAATATATATTTATTCAAAAGTTTAGACTTTTTAAAATAATATAAGACATTGAATCAAGTTAAAACAACCAGAAACATAATCTAAATATATCCTCAAAATATATTTGGTCCAATTTATAAAATTTGAACCGTTAAAATTAACAATGCTAATGTTAGATGGATGAGTTGGACATCCTTAGGTTTACCCAAAAACAACTATATTTCACTTTCATTAAAATTAGTTATAACACGCATTTTTTTTTTTTGAATAATTTTTCAGTCCATGAAAATAAGGTGTTCTTACTTTTATTTTTTTTTTTAATTTTTGTCCGGGTAAAAAAATTGTTTCATTTTCATCTTTATTGTCAAATTAACCGTTAAGTTTAGCAGAAAAAGTAAAAAAAAAAGAAAAAGAATTACGTGAGTAAAATAGAAAAATAAGAAAATGTAAAGGACTAAAATAAAAAAGAATGAAAATAAAAACAACATAAATTTGAGAGTACTAAAACGAAAACAACTGAACATTGAGCAGATCAAAATAAAACTAGCTAAAATTAAAAGGATTAAAATGAGATCAACTTTATTTTCTAGGGAATAAATATTTATTTGAGTCAAATTTATAAAATTTAAGCTTTTAAATAAAATAAATACACTAATGTGGAATAAAAAAAGAAATTATAATGAATGCATTAATGACCAACAAAACAAATAGCAACACAAATCATAATACCTATCATGAAATAATAAAATTCACGTGAAGAATAAACAAAATTTCATTAATATTTTTTTTTTTTTACATATCACACCAATATCTCTTATATATAACATTAAAAAAAAA